GCAGGGCGGACGGAGTGGGCACAGTCACAGCAAGTGACAGGACTTACAGGAGGTCCCGGGGGGCCCGGAGGACCCTTCGGCCCCAGCAGACCGCGCGGCCCCTGCAAGAGGAGAGAGCGAAGATGATTCGGACTCGGCCAGGGCTCTGCCTCTGCCCGCCCCCCGCAGCTCCTGCAGCCCCGCCCAGGCCCCATGCCAGCGGCTCTCCATGCTGCCCAGGGAGCGTGGCCAATACCCGCTCCTGCCCCTGCTCCCTCTCCTCACCCGCCTCTCCACTGGGGCCCCTGGAACGGATGGGGGCTCCGTGGGAGGTCATGGGTGCCCTCAGGGAAAGGGGGCCTTCGGAATCGACGGCCCAGGGCCGGTGAGCCCAGAGCCCATCCCCCAAATCATGCCCGTGGCGGTGACGGAGCTGCGGGTGCGGCGGTGAGGAGTCCCGCCCGCGCCACTGCCGCTGAGACGCTGCCTTTGTCACTCTGATCCCTCGGCAGAGCCGTGGTTTAGGGGTTAATGACCCAGAAGGGGCGGCTCAGACGCGCGTGAAGGAGGGAGCGCGATGAACCCCCTCCCGGCTACTCAGACACCCGGGGTCACTCAGCCCCGAAGCCCGGCTCCTGCCCGCTGGCCACATTCCCTCCGTCAGCATCGCCGTGCACACCCCGCGTCGTCGTCAAGGGAAGGAGACACTCGGAGAGTGGCCGTGAGGGAAAGTCATGACCGTCCTTTGGTGGCTCAGGAAATGGGCTTCGGCCCCCAGAACCCCGCGTGGAGGAGCGCTGTGGGGCCCGGGCAGGTGGTGCTACCGAGGGAGGCTCCTCCCCAAGTGCCCATCAGGAAGGGCGCAGCCCGCTACTCCAGGCCTGCGACTGCCCCAACTCACCTGATGACCCCGCGTGCCCACCCAGTGACCCCACACGCCCACCCAAGGACCCCCGAGGACCCCCGCACACCCCCATGACTGCAGCCTGGCTCCCACCCCAGCCTCAGGGACCTGGCCTCCCCCTGGAAGGCTGGGATTGACTCCCTAGAGCTGCCCCCAACCTCCCCATTGCACCTCCTTTCCCTTGCAGGGAAGTCCCCAGATCTGTTTCTGGGTCCCGGCTGAGCCCCTCGCTGTCGCTGCTCAAAGACGGTCCCCGATTCAGCCCCGAGGGAGCCCCTCCTGCAGCTGTCTGCCCCCCCCCCCCCCCCCGCCGTGAGGACACAGAATCCCGCCCGATCAGCCACTTACCGGTTCCCCGGGCAGCCCTCGGGGCCCAACTTCTCCGTCGTCACCCTGCCGGGAGCAGGGGCCAGGGATTAGGGACAGGTGCCAAGGCCTCGCCCAGGGACGCTTCAGCACGTCCAGCCAGAACAGGACGCAGGGCCTGCCTCACGCGGCCCCCACACCCAGCTCTGCCCTCCTCACCCCAGGCCACAGTCACCTCTAGACCCCCCCACCTCTGAGCTCCGCCCCTCGCCACCTGCTGACTCCCCTCCTCCCAGCGTCCCAGGCGCCTGTCCCTGGAGGAGAGGCACTCGGGACCTGACGCCCCAGACCAGCAGGAAGGATGAAGGTAAACATCTGCCATTTGCTTTTATCTGGGCTCTGGGCGCCCCCGCCCCGCCCCGACCCCCCGGTC